TACGGCAGACTGCAAGAGGCACTCCGCCAAAACCTTTCCTTCCAATAGACCTACGGCCACCGTATATTTCAGGCATCAATAGCGCGAATTTCTCGTACGTATAAATAAATATTGTGATAAATCCCGTACATTATTGCAAGGAATTGCTTGCGACCGTAGGCAGCAGGGGTCACGTGAGGGCGGTTGTGCCGCCCACCGAAAGTGGGGCAGCTGGGGGCATATCCTCCACACCACTTTCCACTGCCGATCAATTTCCCTTTCTTCTCAACCAACCCACTATTCCTCAAGTGAGGTAAGTAATCCGCCTACGCCCCTGCAGTTGCTTGTTGGCGACTGTATTTCGCCTTATTACACTTTATACCCTTTTCTACTTCACTTTTCTTACCATTGCCCAATTGTACGCGCAATTGCAAGTGCAATATTCGCAATTTGCTCATTGCAAATATCAATTGGGTGCAATTGGGCAATTTCTTTTCGCAATTGCTAGTGCAATTTTTGCCAATTGGCAATTGGGCAATTTTTTGCGCAATTACCAGTGCAATTTTTGCCAATTGGCAATTGTGCTTTTTCCTAGGCCAATGTACGCGCAATTGCAAGTGCAATTACGCGTACTTACCTATTCACAATTCAATATTTTTCATTTACTTTTTTCTTCAGCATCGACCATTTACGTACATATGCTAACAACTTCGTACAGGACACTCCCTTTCCCAACAATCGCGTACGCTGTGCAACACTCACAATGAGCACTCAACACCGCATTCCGGACCGTATCGAGGGTATACAGCTCCCAACGGCCCCCGTACACCAGCCCACGGTGTACCCTAACGACCTTACGTCCCACAAGATGACCTCTTACCTCCTTACCAGTACGTACACCTCTGTACAACAGGTTCCTTATTGTACGGATTCTTACGTTATCTACAGACTCTTTGTCTTCCCTTTCGAAGACTTTCCACAAGATCTGTGACCTTGGTATCATGCAGGTTAGTATACACTACCCTACACTATCTCACATCGCCATACTAACCCGTACAATCTAGCCCCAGCGTTGGATCAAGCTTAACCCCAAGATCACTAAGAATGGCCGTTGTGTGCCCGGAGAGATCGCCGTAACTCGCACTCAGGCTGCCGATGCTATCTGGACGACCGTGTACGGCGACGCCAAGACTAGTGCCGAGTCGTGCGCCCGTTGCAAGGCTGGTAAAGGCATGTTCGCTGATTGCGTTGCCTTTACGGGCAGGGGCTGCTCCAGTTGCAACTATACATCTGGTGCACACGAGTGTACGCTCATTGCGCCTCCCGTTACCACTCGTACGTTACCATACACCACCTCACATCTATCTACAGTCTACTAACGGTCCGTACTAGCTCGTAACACGCCTACCAAGGTCGTGAAGCGCGGTCGTAACCACAAGGGTCGTGGTAAAGTCCGTATCGGCGCTCTACTTGAGTCTCTGGGCAATATCCCCGCTGAACACCTCCGTACGATGGCGGACGCCCTTGAACAGGTGGCCGAGCAGGCTGAAGATGACGAAGAGGGTATGTACAATGGCGTACAGGATTGTAGGGAGAGTTACTAACTTATACAGACTCCGAGTAAGGAGTAATCAATTCGACATTCTCATACGGCATGGCACAGGAGTTCACATGGGCATACATTGGGATACAGCACGGTTAGGCTTGATACCCGGGCGGTAAGGCCCCTACGGAGTCGTAGGGCACCTGCTGGCCATGAGCTAGAGTGTACGCGCTTGGTTTGGCCCGTGAGAGGCCGTAACTTACCGTACAAAGGCTCCCCCCAAAGTTCAACGTTTCTAGTGAAATTACAGAACTTTCATTCATCGTACATTGTCGTTGTGTGCTTTCCGTCCTTTTTAGCGTTGTAGATCCCCGTAAGCGTCTGTATTTCTGCATATATACCTGTAAGACCTTGTAAGTAAAAGGATACCCCTGTACATCGCTGTAATTACATATAAACATTTACCCCTCACTTAAAATTTCTTTCTTAGTTTCTTACTTTACACATTACCACTTTCTTAGAATGGCACGACCGCGTATTGATCTTTTGCCATATCGAACGACAATTATTACAAAGTTAGAGAGTAATTGGACCTATGATGCAATCATTACACATATCTTTACAGTTTCTGGTACCAGAATTGCAAAGCGAACTTTCGAACGTCAACTTGCGAAATGGGACTTACGACGAGAAGAGCGTACGGTCTTTTCTGAGGATCTATTGATTCGTATCCAAGAATTATTCTTCCAACAATGCTTGAACGATAAAGATATCCTTTTTCAACTCCAGTCTGAAGGATTTACAATTACGGCTACAGGATTATCAACACTTCGTCGACAGAATCAGCTTTGGCGACGACAAACACCAGAACAGCTCGTAATTGCACGACAACGATTAGAAGAGTTCTTTTCTAGTACACCAGAGGTTACTCGCCGTGCTGAAGGGTACGGTAGAGAGTATCTTTATACATGGGTTCGCCAACAAGCTCATGTCATTAGCCGAGATGAACTTTACCTTACATATCGCAAAACCTTTCCACAACAAGTCCAGGATCGGTTAAGTGAGATGAGGTACCGTCGTAAAGGGTTTACGACTCCTGGACCAAATTATATTTGGTCTTTAGATGCGTACGATAAGCTTCTACCATTTGGATTTGAGATCTATGCTGGTATTGATGCTTATTCGCGGTTCATTGTATGGTTCTATGTAGGGGTTTCTGCCCATACGTCCCGGAATGTACTTGCACAATATCTTACCGTTATTCAACAACGGGGATTTACGCCATTACGAGTTCGTTCAGACCGAGGGAAAGAAACCGTTCTTACGTCTGGTGTTCATTACTACCTTTCACAACACCGTTCAACAGCAGAAAGTCCAATTACATTCCGTGATTGCTGGATCTTTGGCAAAAGTATCCATAACGTCAAGATTGAGAGTTGGTGGAATCGTCTTTGTCAAAGTAGATCAGCATATTGGCGGGTAAGTGATATATATCTTAGTATATATAAGTATACTTACGTTCATAGGAATACTTCCAACTACTTGAGTTCCAAGGGCTGTTCTATACAGATGTACTCTCTGACCAGATTGCACTTCTGTTTACGTATATGCCACTGATTCGTTCTGATTTTATTAACTTCGTACAAATTTGGAACTCTCATCGAATTCGTCGTCAAAAAGGTCGCCCTCACGTTATTTCTGGTCAGCCATGGCAACTATACTATCAACCTACGTTACGAACCGTACAAGACTTTGCACAGCCGATTAACCAAGACCAAGTTCAACAACTATTAAACGCTATTCAGAATAGTGATGATCTAGACGCATATCTTCCTCAAGCTACCTTACAGATTTGTACCTCAATTATTGAGGGCTCCCCAACTGTATTAGCTGAAAGTACGAAGTTTGGCGAGGCTGATTATCCTTGTTTTGAAGCGTATCAATATCTTCGTGTTCGTCTAAAGCAGTATATACGCGATAAGCTCCAACCAGAAGTTACTTTACTTAGTAAACCACAGGGCGGTATTGCATGGGTTAAGCAGAGATTGGAAGACTCTGGAATTGATCTTAGAGCATTGGACAGCTTCGTAATTACGAGCGATACTGAGGACGAAGAGGAATTGTAAATATAATTACAGTTTACTCTGAACTATCTACTAACGAGAATGCTCGCTTCTGTCCTTGTAGTGTACTAGGTTGTTCACTATCGTGAACTTCATCTTCTTGTCGAACTACTATAATCTCGTCTTTCCTATCGTTTTCATCCTTTTTAACCTTTGTCTCGGCCTTTACCTCCTTCTTAACGATCTTCTTTTCTTGCTTAACTGACAATTCCTCCTTGATCTTTATCGTTGGTTTAATACCAACACCTGTCGAAAGCCGTGTTTTCGGAACATTTCTGTACGTCGTTTCGCCTAAAGTTTCAGTTGTAATTGGCTTTGTACGACCTTTTCCCTTCTTTGCTAGCTGAGGTTCAACAACTGGCGACTCAATTCTGGTTTGAGAAACAATAGAAAGTTGGCAATTGTCTTTTTCGTATGAGATCGCAGCTTCAGAGAGGAATCTCTCTAAACTTGTAGCTTCGTACGCTGCTTCACGGTACTCTGAGATATCGCAAGGATTCTTTACATTGATTGGAAATGCTGTCCACTCTGTTGAAAGAATTTGCTGGTTTGTTGTGAAATGTGAAATGATAGACCGCATCATATCTTGATGTGAAGTAAATGTCGAGAAGCGATTGAACTGAACTTTCCCAATAAACTTCTTAATGACTTGGACGTTGGTGTAAGTCGTTACTTGGAAACCGTTAAGTTCGTTCTCAAAAAAGGATGCGTTGTACAATGTAATAGAGATATTAATCATTGGCGATTGCTTTGGCTCCTTTTTCGTTTGCTGAACACTTCGTTCCCGCTCCTTTGAGCCCGTAAGAAGAGATTCCATCAATGTCGAGGCTTGTACGTTTGTACGTTCTTGTTGTACGAAAAGGGCAGAGCCTATACGAGTATTATCATCGATCGGTCGTTTCGGAATAGCTTTACGAGGAGGTGTCGTAAGGTCGATTGGTTCGGTAACGTCTTGTACAGAGACTGGAAGTTGTTGTAAATCTGCACCACAATGTCCACAAGCGAGCCATTGGTTTAATGACTTGAGTAAAGAGTGATTTTTGCCCGTAAGAGGGCAAAAAGCAGTAGTTGCTTCCATGATAAAGTTGTAGGGAGAAGAAAAGTTTTTACGTCGGGGTACGATGCTGCGCGATTTTGTACACCGCCGTACGGTTTGGTACATTACGAAATTAAAGCATCTCTTAAGCCGTAAATCTCTGTAACCACTATTTATGGGTTACTACACTAGTCTAGACCCTATCCTGGGTAGTGGGGTGACCGTAAAATACGATTTCTGCTTTGACACATGAAAAAAGTGTTTTGGCGGAGTGCCTCTTGCAGTCTGCCGTA